AGTAACGTTCGAGTATTGCCCGCCAAATTTCGTGTAGCGTTCCTCTAACGCGTAAGTAGCGTTCTGATAGAACGTCGTGAATTTTTGTACACACCCAAAAATATTTTTCACCCTCAGCGTTCGCCGACGTCCCTAGACGTTCCCCAACGTTTGCCGACGCTCGTCCAACTTTCTTGTAACTTGTTTCTAACGTTCTCGTTACTCACGTTACTCGAACGCTGGTGAGAACGTCGTAGTGTAACAGGGCCATTAGCGGGGAAAGGGGGGTTGGGGGTAATTTTCTTTACATTTTTTTTAAACATTATAATTCATAATTGCTCCTATTCTTGGCACGAAAGATTCAATTTGTATTTGAACATGCATTTAAAAATAGCCTGATTCATATACTCCTTTCTTGCAGTTATCAGATTGATTTTAACTGATTGTTTTAATATAACAACATTGTTAACATTTTTAAACTATGCCATGTTACAACTTTCAGTAGATTTTACAACAATAAAGAAACTGTTTGTGTGTTACCCCTTTACCCTAACTAGACCAAGATAATACTACCAAGGTCAACATAGAGTCAGTTAATATATGCCAACATTACGTCACACATGTCATTTGAGGACTTAAATACACAATACGCTTTGGTCAAACATGTTCCTGATCGGAATTCATTTACAGGTAATGAAACGTACCGAATGCAGGAAGTAAAAGTGAGGAAGGTAAGTCTGCTTTAGTTTATTCTTATATCAATGAAACAATGTTTTATTTTTGTATGGGGCAATTGGTTTGAAACATATAAAAATATCTTTAATGAAAATAAATTCATGAAAGATGCGTAGAAATAATAAGGTTAATTCTACTGTCTAGCTTTATAAACTAATCGCGGGTAATTTGTGCTTATAACAAGTGCGGATATATCTTGCAAAAATATTTCCACATTATTTGGTAATAAAACACAACAAATGCCCTCAGAAGTATTTGTTTATTTTGATAAACATATTACCATGACAGTCGTAAAATTGATATTGAAGAATCGAATCGTGTAGATATCAATCAATTCTGTTGTGCTAAATGTTGAGCGAGGAAGATATGTAACTTATAGATGTTATACATATTTTGTTTTAATGATTAATCATATTTCAATGAAGTAAGTCCATTTTACAATTTGTTTTAATATTTGTTCAAAGGAATCTGCTAAATTATCAAACGAAACATATCATACACAGGATTACGTTGCTTCCAGCTTTTGACCGTATCGATTGATATTGTAGATATAGCTGAATGGGAATATTCAAGTTACCAAGCTTCGACAAATATCAAGTTGCATAGGTTGACAGCGATCAATAAGTGCAAATAAGAATTTATAATCTATTTGCTTGGGTTGCAAACGGGATTTCTAATCTCTTATTCAAATAAACAGGAAGCACATGAAATAAAAGACATTGACTGCTATAAATTTCGTGAATATAGATTTACTAACAGATTAACTTGAGTGCACCGGGATATACAAATTGATCATTAAATAATAAATACTTGTTAAAGGCTTCATTTCAACAAGCAAAATGTCCAACCACTGAAATATAACCTGTATTTATTTATTATTTATTTATTTGTATATTTCTCGTTCTAGGTATAATTTCAGGTAGTGACCATAAAAAATGGGGAATACACAGTAAGTGTTTCGGATTTTGTTGAAATACCTTCTAGAGAGATCATTTGTAATTAGTAAGCTATTTGACGTGTGGTAGTTAAATGTTCAACGAGTATATGTGTATTTTAAGAACACATGAAGAGCAAGGCAACACGCCAAAAAAGGAGGAAAAGCAGGTCATAACAAAGAAGGAGGAGGAGGGGGAGGAGGAAGAAGAGAAGGTGGAGGAGGACAGAACGGAGGAGGAGGAAGAGAGGTAGAGATTTTGCAGATAACACTCCTGCTTTTTTTAAACGCGCGCACAATCAAAAGCTTATGTTTATTGATGCCTTCTGTAACAAAGGAAAGGGTTTTTATCAAGTAATAAATCAAGCAAACGTTTGCTATCTTAAACTATTTTTTCGACACATAAAAGTTTGTGCTGAAATTTGGGAACTAGAAACATCCTAGTATCGCTTTACGCCATGTCATCGTACGCTATATCAATGCATTCAATGCTGAAATTACGTCTCGGGTACGTTTCGGTAAAGGATAGACGACGATTTTTCATCTTTATATTGTGATATATTAGTGTTTGTATATCCCTAATCCCTCCTAATCGGGAGGGGGGACCATACTGATAAAAGGCAGGCTGGCACATGGCTGAGTCGGTGAGTTGACCTTTAAGGTCATGGGAGCTGTCACTGCTAAAGGGCTGGCCTCAGGTACGCCTAGGAGTAATAGCTGGGGGGGAGACCAGCGTGGGGTCCGGGGAGAAAGGGGAGTGATCTAGTGGAGTACAGACGTGATTAGGCTGTCTCCTGTATAGCTTAGCTGAGGTAAATTAGCTAGGGGATTATCTCAGGTGTTGTTATGGACTATGCTGACCGTGATGTTGTACGTTGTATATAAAGTGTAAATAAACTTGTAAATAGAACTCTGCTGTAAAATGTTGTATTCTGGAAACCTCCTCCCCGTCACGTTACAATATTATAGACGACTGATGTTACCTTCCGTTACGTTTACTCGTATTTTCGCTCTTTTGAGAGGAAGTTTCGTTTTTGTGATCGTAGGTGATGGACAAAATAATCAAACAATGCAGTAAATGATTACTATCTTTGACTGCCTGCATAATATTGCGTACCTGCTGTTTCTAGTGATGGTTTTAGTTCACGTGTTGGTCGACTCTTTTGATCGACTTTCGATGAACTAAACTGATCATGACCTTCCAGATGGAATATATTCTGGCAAATTTTACACGAAAAACTAGTAAAAATGGAAGGATCTAATGTTGCCAAAACGTGTAAAATAAACATATTATAAAGGCATTCATAGGCTCATTTCTCCTTCCGTTTTGTTCATTGACATTTCTTGAAACCCTTTTAACTACGATTTCCATGTTTAATCGTAAGTTCCATATATAAATTCTATATGAACAAAATAGATATATGGAGGAGTAAATGTTTTTCTTTGTTTTTTATTTCTGCGTCCACTTACTTTATTTTTGAACAACTATTTCCTTACTTCGTATTTCTAGCAATTATTATAAACGTTGTTCATTTCAAATTGATTTTATTAAACTATAAATACTAGGAAATTTCACCATATTAAATCGAAATATTGCACTGGATACACTTTAACAAAATTGTCATTATATTCACGTGTGGTAGTGGTATTATTACTATGGTGATGGGAAGATGGTGGTATTCCTGTTTTAGTCCAAAATTGATTATCTTACTTTATTAAAAAAAATAAGGAATATGTATATTAACCAAATCACAAAACTAGTTTTCTTTTTCTATTCAGAAAAGCCTCTGTAACTATCACGCCATGGAGTAACAATGAACGCAATACAAGGTTTTCAGAGATAAAAGTAGAAAAGGATGATGTGTTCGTATCAACAATTTTTAATATAACTATTCAGGAGATAAAACAGAAAGTGGACGGAGATTCTACGACTACTGCAGACGCGACACCGGGTACAGACGAAGTTAAAGCCGTTAGAGCTGTGATATTTAAACACAACTCACCGATAATGGAGGAAGTTACGTCTATTCATTCAGTGGTCGACAGTACAGACGACGAGAAAACCGTTGACTACATAACGCTCACCCTGGAACTGGAAATCGCCAAAAACCTCGTCATTTACACGTGTCATCAGTACAATGGAAGCAAGTGGACCAAAACTAAAGTTGAGCAGAAGGTATCTTTTGGTAATTCAGTAATTTTTATAGTATTGAGAAGTACTTTAATCCTGTTTCGTTTCCCTTTTGATTTATATTTAATAAACATTGATAAACATTTTGATCAATGAAGACAATGTTCTGAGAATTTGCCCCAGAAAGAAATTGAATATATTATTTTTCTGTAAAAACTTCATTTAATAAGTTCATGGTGACATCGGAGTCAATTAATGTTGGTCTTGCAAGGATATGCAATTATTGCTATTGCTTGATATATTTCTAAAGAAAAATCACCCAGATATAGTATTTCAAAAATTTAAAAAAAAATCTCATATTTCAACCGATCTGCTCAGACATGTTTAGCCTTCACTTTGCATTTTCCCGGAGGATTTTGTTATCCGACTTTATTTTAGTATGAATATGAACGGTGTTCTGTTCAGCTGAGAGAAGTACCAAAAGTGCTTTTTGTCTGTAAGAAGACAACCAGGAACAACTTGCACTTCAGATTTTTCTTCGAAACTCAAAATTAAAGATACATCAGAAAATCCCTATACAAATTCATACATTTACACACAGTATGGAAATAATGGTCATACCAATACCAAATTGCATCAGAAACCTCAATATTCCTTAACGTATGAATTTCACTTCACCATACAGTTCAGTCGCTATTCCAAGGCCTTGTTTAAGTAAATTTTCATAATAAGATAGAAGCGTCCTGTTCACTAATAAACTCTTAAAGTCATCCAAGGTTTTCTGCATGAGGAGGTTCAATATATCCTTTCGGATCATATTGTGTCGCCCTTGTTTTAATGGAGTCAAGCATATCTTATCATGTTTTATCACATTCTGTCGGTTCTAGGTCCTGGTGAAGTGATCATGTCTTTCATTTAAAGTCTGGTTGATGTACTAGTATTCAAAATGTTATGCATTTGTTTGCAGTGATGCATCTTATCTTGGTAGAATCAAAACTGATTAAATGAAAATGTATCTTCTTCTGGCAGATTATAATAATATGTTTTTTAGTTTTTTACTTTTCACTAGGTTGGAAGTAGCACAGTAGAAGCTGACGTTTACGACTTTACAACAGTTGACCTTTGTTAAACTCAAAAACTACTTACAGGAAAATTATTTTCTTCCAAGACATTTCTGTAATATATATTTGTTTTTGACTTTTCACTAGGTTGGACGTAGCACCGTAGAAGTTGACGTCTACGACATGACAACAGAAACCATATTCTTCACGTTGCGTTATATGTGTGAAGAAGTCATTGTACCTTCTGGTGGGTTCGAGTATAAAAACGACTTCTGTCCACAACAACGAATCACATTCCCAGAAGGAGCTGTCGAAGGAAACATGAAAATAACCATAAATGTACGTCGCAGACAATATATAGTCATCTGTGGGGTTCTTACAATGAGGTTCCAAATCAACAGTTTACGGTATTCGTGTTAATAAAATGGTTGCAGATTGATTGATACGAATCAAAACGATATTGGTGCATTATAAAACTATTACAATGGACATGTAAATGATTCGATCCATTATGTATCAAAATAATTTTCTTGATATTTTTTTCTACAAACACTTCAAAGGACACTTGGTCCCTGGCTCGATATCCTTCTTTAAAGTAAACATAAATATCAATTTTATCATGTTTCTTCGTTTACAGACAATGTCCATTGAAGGTGAATGTAAGAGAAAAAGACTGAAAGAAGAAATGGGATCCGACACCAGCATCTCCAGTTTATCAGATATCGTGTATGTTCACCATTCGCAGCCATTCAAGAAAAAGGTTAAACTTCGGCTAAAACTGGATCCTTTATTCAGCGATAATCAATCTTCGGAAACCTTCTTGTTTCATTGTGACGACAATGGATGTTTGAGGGTATTAGAAGATGTGAAGATGAGGAAGGTACCTGAGGAGGAAGTAGGGGGAGATAACCATATTTATGAAGTAGAGGTGGACACCTTTTCAGGGTAAGTCTTAATTACATCTGATCAGGCTCAAGATATGCAATATTATCCTCTTTCTCTACTAAGAAGTGAATGTATCCTCTAATGGACGGCCAAGACAACTTTGTAAGGTAACACTTACATTAAATCAATAATCACTTGTTTGATAACGTCTGTATCAATACATATGCATGTTTATTCTTCAATTGTGAATAGAACAAAACATACATATCAATATTAATATCTAATAATTGTTTGTGTCATAGCTTAGATCAACACCAGACTGATATATGTCGTAAAACCTTCTGTATTCTGGCACAGAAATTGTTTATCTTGAAGTACAATTTCTTTCTTCAAGAATCGGAGGGTTCCATGGTGATCGCAGAAAAGACTACACCAGAACTCTGCCAAAAATTTATGGTTTAGGCAGAGATCAATGCAGAATTCTTGTTTTCCTGTATAAGGAAGACAATGATTTACATCTTTGGTCGGATATTGTTCCCGAGAAAAAATGGAAAAGAAGGGAACGTGAGCTACAAAAACGGGACGGTCTGATCTTTCTGAGGAACACAGTATCTCCTTCTGTGCCTGTGAAGAATTTTGGCCGCCTTCGAATTACTGTATTACACAATGGAAGAATGCTAACAGCCCCCGAGGTTCCCTCCAACTCTACTTTCATGTACTACGATCGACATGCCAGGGAAATCTACAACCACTTCCCGGTTGTTCCAAACAAAGGAATAACAAATGAAACGGGGATTATTCAGTATGAAATAGACACAGCTCCCAGACGCCTCCTACATACGGCATACATTAATGTTGATCTTTATCTGGTCGGACTTCAGGCATCAGTACGTCAAATACGACAACAAACACAGCGCCCGAGAACCCAACAGCAGCCAGATAGACCAATATCACGACAACCTGGAGTTCGAAGAACACCACAAGCGGATGATGCAAAAGAATGGTGTGTATATGTGAATGCAGTCTAAATCGATTTTATATATAAAATGTAAAATATGTTTTAAGTGAATAGAAGTGTACATGTTTGCTAAACATACAGAAAACGTTAACATCATATCAAATAATATTATTTAAATTTTAAAATATAACGTACTGAGTAAGTACTTGGAATAATATATACGTGAATATATGATCATTAATACATGCCAAAGTTGAATTTTAAAATGTAACGTGCTGAGTAAGTACTTGAAATAATATATACGTGAATACATGATCATTTATACATGCCAAAAAATATATCGAATGCATTATTATATTACCGTTAAACTTTCAATTCGCCTTGTCTTTTCTTTTCAGATTTTTCCAGTGAACAAAGCTTATTCTTTCTTGCACGGGAGATACCGGCAACCAAAGCATGGGAACTGATGGTACTACTTGGCCTACGCACGAACCAGATATATTGTAAAAATGTCAGCTAAATTAGTTAATGTCATATACCTGAACGAATCAAGTGACATACGTATGTCGGCTAATCTCTAGTACATTTTGATCGACTAAAAACTTTCAGTTGAATATTGTAATTGGCATAGTAAGAAGCTGTTTGTACATCAGGCTTACGGTTTACATCCAGACAGGAACACTGTCAGAGGTTATACGCCCAGTATAAATCCCATTAGGGCTCGTAAGTACAATACTAGTAATACTGTGCTTCCGTGCAAATTAATTATTCATTCTGTCTATACCTGAGTTGAATACTACACTCTATAATGATTTCACGTTCTCGAATATGTACTTTCTCTTTTCGAGCTAAAGATATTTTCTGCGATATAAGATGACGCTACCTATATTGGTATGCTACCAAGATTTGTACTCTGTCAGAAAATGTTGGAAGATATCGCGCGATATAGCTATTTGTCGTCGAGGGCAGATAAAAAGATTGTATGTCGTCAACATTTTAAACATATTCGGTTCAGGGGTTAATTACAGGAATGTTTTCAAACAGTTATCTGTTCTTGCCAAACATTGTGACTTTTTACGTTATGAAGGGTTTGATTGACATATCTCCCTTCGAGATTTACACGTATTTCAGTAAGCTATAAATATCGCTTTCCTCTATTTTTATCTTTGGTACCACTGAGATATAATATATAAACTTGATTTATATTACAATTATGAAACTAGTTTTTACAACTTATATCAATCACTCTTATTGGCATGTATGTTAGCGCGCGGGGGGTCTTAATGCAGGAGGAAACAGGAGTACCCAGAGAAAACCCACGTGTCCGGGCAGGTGACCACATACTTCCGAATCAAACTCCGGCCGCCTTGGTGAAAGGCAAGTGCGCTATCCACAATGACACCCAATCGTTTAAGTTTAAATCACTATGAGTTACCACCAAGGCCTAAATGTCCGAAATTACCATATCGTACAGTAAAACAGGTTTACTTTGTAAGCCCTTCTACATCGACATACTAAACTTTTAAATAGATGAATTCGTCTTCATATTTTTAGTGACCATTATATATTGGTTAATTTCAGCCCCGAGGTTGGCAGTAATGTTGCAGCTTGAATTTATTCTAGTACCGATTACATGAAATACTGTTTTAGGAATGAAATAGCTACCAAAGCCAAAAGTTGTAATAGAGCGTCATATAGGATTTTGAAGGCACCTTCACCTCGCCATGAGATATTAAATGTTTCGAAACAATTTAGATATAAGTTTCTATTCTCTGAATCTTCAGTATTTTTGTTTTTGTTTTAGAGATTATTCTTGATGTCGAAAGATTTAATCTTTTTTGATCGCATCAATAAAATGTTAAGTGTGCATACATATTTTTGTGACCCAGCACCGTTGTTCGACAATTTTGAAATATTTAATTTTTAAGTGCAAGAGGAAGCGAAACACATTTTAGGCATTCGCATCCACTTACTAAGGCGAAACCCCATTCTAGGTATTATAAAAAAAAAAAACACTTTCGTAAAATATTAATGGCACATAAGCCTTAATGCCTAATTCACGTGAGTTAATGTTTGTTTGTTTGTTTATTTTCCTAATAAACATCTGTAACGGATGGCCAATAAATCTTGGTGTTCTAAAAATTTTGTGTTAATATTTCCGAGCTATAATACAATTGTACCTCAATTGAAGGGATCATCCCATACTTCTATGTATCATAGAAAACTTCAAAACAACGGTAACACAGTTTGGACATGTCAAGTTTGTTTAGTTGCTTAAAGTAAGGGCGAAATATCAGCAGCGGATGAAGCCTTTTTTGAATGGAGAACCCTTTGTAAACTAATTTTGGTGTCATGAGAATGGAAAATATGTGGTTTTAAAACCGCTGTGCAAATATATCTGAGCTTTAATACAATTTGACATGTCAAACGATCAGGAGAGGAAACAGTCTCAATTTGACCTGATAATCCCAGATATCTTTGTATCATTGGAAAAGGATTTTATACACTTCCAAAAGAACATGATATGCGCACATTTTCGTGCTATAGTACCACAGCTATACACATTTGACATGTCCAACATTCGTAAATACTATACGCAGTATTGTCACTTTCATAAAATGTATATTGCAGTGTAGATATGTTCGTACTATAACACTACGGTAACAAAATACTTATTTCTGATAATTACCGCCTTTTCTTGGTGCAAAACCCAAACACTTTTTGTATTACTGGAAAGTGAATTTTCCTAAATAGTTCTGACATATCAAACTCGGTAATTACTAGAAATAATGAGTTAAACATCAGCAACGAGTTATTTCAACTTATATTTATCAATCTTTTTGGATCAGATGGTAGCGTGCATGGTGCCCACGTTGTTGGGCAGGTGACCCCATACCTTTTCGCGTCCGATCGGGTAATCAAACCCTGGCCGCCTTGATGAAAGGTGAGAGCGCTATCCACTGCACCACCCGCAACCCATTCTTTTTGGCATATTTGGAAAGATATTTTTCGCCACTGCAATAAAATGTTTAGTTTGCATGCTTTACATCTGAAAAATCCAAGGGTTCTGCTCTTGATTAACAGATAATCTCTATACCTGTGAACGATGTCAGCACAACACTGACAGCTCTTTACACACAACCTTACTGATGAAATGAGTTAATGTGTCTGGAAACAGCTAGAATCCTGCATACCTGTGATCTTGATACAAGATAAAAGGAATCTCACCACTGCATATCGGTCAAACTATCCACCTTTGATTTGGGTTTTTCTCTTCTAATATTCCAAGACCAGGTATTGTTTGTTTGGAACCAATTAAATAGGTAACTGTAACTAACCGCATTCTGTTTTGTCATAACCTTATTCAGAAGACATCTTTCAATACCTCATGTGTCTCTCACATGCCCAAATCACTACTCTGTTCATGCAAAGAATAAATCACAACATTAAGGCCAGGTAGTCGTGTCTACAGAGGGTGCAGCCACTTAACAGCAATGGTCAGTTTTCTGTTTGTAGAAAACTGACCATTGCTGTTAGGTGCCTGCACCTTCTGTAGATAATCAAGACCCTAACAGCAATGGTCAGTTGTCCACAAATAGAAAACTGACCATTACTATGAAGTGGCTGCACAATCTGTAGACACCACTACCTGGCCTTAATGCTGGGTACCAGACCATACTTTAAAGTACCTGTATGACAATCCACCTTCTCAGATACATTGGAATACCAAGTCTGGTGAATGCACGGGAAATGGTAAGAACATTATGCTCCAGTCAAGCTTTGGTTATCAAAAATGAATAAGGGACATAACTCTGTATAGGTTGGAGCTCAAGTCTGGTGTTCTGCATGCAACACCTTCCTAAGATGCGCATGTATAGCCAATTTGTTTAACGTAGGTGATATATCAAAGAAAAAGATGGTCTGCACAACTTATTGCTAATACTCCGCCAGCAAGTCATAATCCCCTGGCCAAACAATGCAATACAGTAGCATGTCCTGTCATATCCACGCATAAAAAATATGGAAGCAACTGTTAATTTTAGTTTTATTGGTACTAGCATATCATCGTCCTTTCTTCTTTTTTCTGGCTGAGGGGTCGGGGAAGGTGAGAGGCACATTTAATGAGGCAAAGTTGATGGACAATGGCCGTCCTACCATAGTTACCCCCTTCTTGGACGTGAATGTACAGCCCAGAGCTCGGAAATGGTTCTGTATCCTGTGATAAAAGAAGGGTCAGTATATTAGACAAGTGAGGAAAACACAAATGTAGCATTGATTTAATCATACAGTATTGAGAAATTGAATGTGATCTCAATGGAAACTGCATGCATCCTACAATGAGATTCAAATGTAAAATAATCAGTAAATCTAGGGTTAATGTGATTCTGTAGTAAATGAGTTTTATATTGAAATTTGATATGAATGATCCGTAGATTCTGATTTAAACTGCATCTATATAAACGATCTGCCAAATGACTTATCGAATACAGTCCTAAACTACTTTTATATAAACAACCTGCCAAATTCTGTTTAAACTATTTCTATATATATGACCTGTCAAATTTTATTTCAAACTTCTTTTACATAAAAAAAATCAGTCAAATGACCTGTCAAATACTGTTCTAAACTTTTTAAATATGAGCAACCTGTCAAACACTAACTGGTGTAAACTTGTTATGTATAAATAACCTAGCCATGATGTATGCAGTGCTCTGCATGTAGTTACAAAATAACATGACTGCTACCTGAGTGAATTGATTATCTACCTTTCCAGTGATAGTTTTAAATCCATCATCAGTTCTGTGACTTCTACTTCATACTCATCTATCATCAGACACAATACTAGGATGTAAGATATAGTTTTGTCCTTCAGTCGAGCTGGCCGACACCTGCAATAGAGCAAAATCAAAATAATATAATGTAAGATGTAGTTTTTTCCTTCAGTCGAGCTGGCCAAAAGCTGCAATTGAACAAATCATGACAATAGAATGTAAGATATACTTTTATCCTTCAGTTGAGCTGGTCAACACCCAAAATGGAACAAAATCACAATAGCATGTAATATATGCTTTTGTCCTTCCGTCGAGCTGGTCGTCACCAACAATGGAACAAATCAAAATAATATAATGTAAAATATATTTTTTTCCTTCAGTCAAGCTGGCCAAAAGCTGTAAATGGAACAAATCACAACAATAAAATGTCAGATATACGTTTGTCCTTCAGGTGAGCTGGTTGACACCCACAAAGGAACAAAATCCCAACAATAAAATATAAGATGGAGTTTTGTCCTTTCTTCATGCTGCCAATATCTGCAAAGGAACAAAATCACAACAATAGAATATATCTGCAGGAGGAGAGACTATGTACCCTCAGCATTGCTAGTCATAGACACCTGGGCCCGTATTCATGAAACCGTTCTCATGCTCAAGCATGGATTTTGTACTCAAGCCAGCTTTATTGTAACCCACCTAAATAATGTCAACGATCAAAAAGTCAAATTCAAACAATGAAAGCAGTATTCGGCTTCAAGTTTCTTCAATTTTTGTCCAAAACTTTTAACAAAAAAAAGACTTTATAAATAATTTTAACTGGAACAAGAAATTAGACTTGAGCACAAAATCCATGCTTGAACATGAGAACGGTTTCATGAATGAGGGCCCTGATATAGGTGTAAAGCACAGGATAACAAGGCTGAAAGATAAAGAAGTGTGAAGATCACTGTTAGTGAGGAACCAAAATCAAACATCACTCACTATGATGTAATCAATCAGCTCATCTGGAGTTTGAGGGGATTGACAAATACTGCAGGATTAATGATATCATAAACAGCAGTTTTTGTAGAAGAACTGGACTAGGGCAATCGCCAACAGCCAGGTAGATGAGCTGTTTTCACCTTCAGAAAACAAGTACTTTATAAATGACTTAAGTTTTTGCTTAATGTTGAACACTGCGAAACAGCCTTAATAATGCTGTTGTAACAAGGACAAAGGGCCATAACTCTACATGTACTGGAGCACAACACCTGGGTTGGTGCGAAACAAACGGTTTGTCCGTTTTTAAATGTAACAATTTCGGGTTTAAATCCTGGCGGACCTGCATATGTTTATGCAGGCCTTGCAAGGTTTTGTCAAGGCTCCTGAAAGCAGCATTAGATTAATTGACCTGACTCTATTTCATAAACGAACAACTCTAGTCCAATTGATCCAACCATTTGGTTCATGATAAATGAAAGTGATTCAGAATCCAACACTCTGCCTTCACCTTTTACATACCTGGTAAGTATAGAGAATTTGGCTAATGTAGTTGAAATAGCAAGGAGGGAATGATATGGACAATATTCAGTATTGAAAATGAATAAAAGACTATAACTTTGGATATTACACGCCAATAGACCCAAATTCAGCATGCAACACATTTCCTGCTTATGATTCAGAAGAACAGCAAGTTTGGTAAGTGTGGACAAAATAACGAGGGATTCATGCTCCACACAAACTTTGGTATCAAAAATTAACAAAGGGCCAAAATTTGCTAAAATACAAATATAATTTGAGATGCAATCTTCTCTGAGCTCTCGCTCGGCTCCAACATACACTCACTCACAGTCCATGCAGTATCAAATTTGTATCAAATTTGTATCAAATTTCATAAAGAGACTTCAATAAATAAAACACAATAGAGATGATGATAAGAAAAAGTATTGTAAACAGGACATGTTGTCAACTGGCTTAAAGAAATGGTACGATGCTCCGATAAAAACTCAAATATTTGAAGCTCACCTTCTAATTCTACCACCAGATTCAACTTTCATTGTGAACTTTTTCAACAGCTGCTCAATGACAGCACCAGGCCACTCCACAGGTAACGGGGCTACAATACACAATTCTTAATTATACACATGGCACACCATCTTGTCATGATATAGATATCATTGATTGAGAAGATATTCTAATAATAAAAGACTTGGCTTTTGACTTGTACTATCAATAGTAACAGGGACATTGTTTTTATATCCTGACCTCAAATGTAGCCCCTGCAACTTCTATCCACAAGCTAATATCAAAATTGAAATTGATATTTTTCAAAGGCCAAAAGAAGCTTAAATGAATATTTTACACTTTTTTTTCATCAACCTGTTAACTCATTCACCCGGAAGACACATTTGAACTCTTCCAATTCAAATGTTGGAATAGTTCATTATGAAATTTCAGGGGGGAAAGAGTTAATTACCAGCTAATGAAGTTTGAGCAATCTAGGAAACTCCTTATATCATGTGAATACATGAACAGACAGATGGAAATGGAAGGAAATGATTGCCATATAAGGATGGACAGTATGTTTATACACTGACTTTTCTGTCCAAGGGTGTGTGTGTTCAGATTGTTGAGTGTGATCAGATAGTGTAGGTACATGAGACATTTAGACATCTTCCATCGTTCTGATTCCGCCAAGGGCATGGTCATCAGGTGACTTGTGACATACTCAGGATATCTGGAAGGACAAAGAAAGTTAAGTTATTTAACCATTTCCAAAGGGTGTTCATAGTTAATATGACTGACAGGTAAAAAACTAAATTCCATGTTAGTATTTTATAATGTAGGAATGTTACTGTAGTAGTGTCAGTATTTGTCATTATTTCTTTTAATGTATTTGGTATTTAGCTATACACGTTTGTATGTAACGGAAATCAGCCTTCCGTGTAATTTTGTACGTCACGCATTGCGGCAAAACTTTTAGCGCGCGCACGGAAATAGTACGCGTAAATGCAAGTACAGTACTGAGCGGATGTGATATAATGTGTTGTAAACCTGTTTGTCCAGTACGTATTGTCTATGTCTAGAATACCTAGTATTGAATGTAGGGTAATTTACCTGGTGCACTGGTCACTTTGAACAGAGCGGCCAGAGCGAGAACAGCGAACATCTTGTACACCTATATCTTTACCTAGCCAGCATAGGAATTAAAAGAGGTAGCTGGCACTAGAGCCAAAAGCAAATAACGTAAGTACCCGTGTATAAATATTAGTCTAATTCATTATAGTTTCTACTGAATAGTATATTTAATTAACGTAATATTTTTGTTAAAAGTAAAGTTAATATTTTGAAAGTCTTTGTAAATTTAGAAATCGGGCGTGGTCAATTTAGTAGACAAGTGATTTCGAAGAAGCAAGTTTTTAATATATATTGTTTCCTTTTATAGTATTCATTGAACGAGTAAGACCGAGGACTCGGCGGACTTTGTCCGATAAAACCCTCTTCACATTGAAGAGGTGGGTATTTTATATATTTGTAATTATGCTGTATTTCTATATAACATATAGATTGGATGTCAGTTTGTAAAATATGTATTCCACTATTGTAACTTACGTAACTGGCTACGGCCAGGTAGTTGTTTGACATGTCTTAGCTTTTGTGATTGTATAAATGTTATATGTATAGTAATATGATGTATTTCATGTTACAGGGTTTTTACTTACGTAATAAATTAACTAAGAAAAGAACCCAGGAGTTGTCGTATATCCACGATAAAAGACTACTATTACATTACCAATGTATTTTACTGTGATGAGTCATTACATACTTTCAAGTGGGTTGTTTAATGATGCACAAATGTCAGATCATGTAGAAGTTTAAATATTTAGATGCATTACAACATGCAAGTGTTTCAGGATATAGGGATGTTAGCTATATGTAGGGATGTTAGCTACAAAATAGGAATGTTAATATATAATGTAGGAAAAAAATGTATTGACATAGGCTATAATGTAGGGATGTTAGCTATTATGAAGGGACATTGGCTTTAATTTAGGGTCATAAGCTATAATGTAGGGACATTAGCTATAATGTAGGGACATTAGCTATTATGTAGGGACATAAGCTATAATATAGAGATATAAGCTATAATATAGGGACATAAGCTATAATGTAGGGACATAAGCTATAATGTAGGGACATTAGCTATAATGTAGGGACATATGCTATAATATAGGGACATAAGCTATAATATATGGACATAAGCTATAATATAGGGTCATAAGCTATAATATATGGACACAAGCTATAATATAGGGACATAAGCTATAACATAGGGACATAAGCTATAACATAGGGACATAAGCTATAATATAGGGACATGACATAAGCTATAATATAGGGTCATAAGCTATAATGTAGGGACATAAGCTATAATATAGGGACATAAGCTATAATGTATGAACATAAGCTATAATATAGGGACATAAGCTATAATATATGGACATAAGCTATAACATAGGGACATAAGCTATAATATATGGACATAAGCTATAATATATGAACATAAGCTATAACATAGGGACATAAGCTATAATATAGGGTCATAAGCTATAACATAGGGACATAAGCTATAATATAGGGACATAAGCTTTAATATAGGGACATTAGCTATAATATAGGGACATAAGCTTTAATATAGGGACATTAGCTATAATGTAGGGATGATAGCAATAATGCATTATTCATTTTATACAAGTTTGTGTTATCCTAGGTAGATCTCCTTGTCTCTGTAGTGTAGACTGGATTTATTAATTGAATTGTTGATATAACAACTTGATAATACTCTATTCTACCAGAATCACAGAAGACAGAAAAATATAAAATCTACAATGAAACAACTTTCAGTTTTAAAGTACATAGGGAAATAATATCTGTTAATTGGTCATCTGCGTACGTTTTCTGTTCCTTCCATTGTTTGACCTGTTCATAGGCTGAGTCAAAGAACACTTGGGCAGGGGTGGTCAGAGCCTCCATCTCACCTGGACTGATGACTAAAAACAGAAATTCAAATAAACATGCATACAACTTATCTCTTCAAAGTCAGAGTGAACTTACGCAACTTATGTTATTGTGCTCCAAAGAGTTGGACCCAAGTAATTGTTTTTAGAAACAGAGACAGATTTAGAAATTTGATGTTGCTTTCTTGCAAGCATTGGCAAACATTTTCTTGTCCTGCTTTAACTGATCCTTCGGGCTTCTGAAATATTACATATATAAATAACAGTTAGTCTGTGTAAAGAAACAGGCCCCTAGATAACAGTCTACATTATTTACCAGATTCATTCACATCCCACCCTCTGTAACAGAATTCAGTCCCACCCTTTGAAACAGAACTCTGTCCCACCCTTTGTAACAGAACTCAGCCCCACCCTCTGTAACAGAATTCAGTCCCATCCTTTGTAACAGAACTCTGTCCCATCCTTTGTAACAGAATTTAGTCCAACCCTCTGTAACAGAACTCAGTCCCACTCTTCGTAACTGAATTCAGTCCCACCCTTTGTAACAGAACTCTGTCCCACCCTCTATAACAGAATTCAGTCCCACTCTGTAACAGAATTCAGTCCAATCCTTTGTAACAGAACTCTGTCCCACCCTCTATAACAGAATTCAGTCCCACTCTGTAACAGAATTCAGTTCCACCCTTTGTAATAGAACTCTGTCCCACCCTTTGTAACAGAACTCAGTCCCACTCTTTGTAACAGAATTCAGTCCTATCCTTTGTAACAGAACTCAGTCCCACCCTTTGTAACAGAATTCAGTTCCACCCTTTGTAATAGAACTCTGTCCCACCCTTTGTAACAGAACTCAGTCCCACTCTTTGTAACAGAATTCAGTTCCACCCTTTGTAACAGAACTCAGTCCAACCCTTTGTAACAGAACTCAGTCCAACCCTTTGTAACAGAACTCAGTCCCACCCTTTGTAACAGAATTCAGTCCCATCCTTTGTAACAGAACTCAGTCCCACCCTTTGTAACAGAATTCAGTTCCACCCTTTGTAATAGAACTCTGTCCCACCCTTTGTAACAGAATGCAGTTCCACCCTTTGTAACAGAACTCAGTCCCACCCTTTGTAACAGAACTCAGTCCAACTCAGTCCCACCATTTGTAACAGAACTCAGTCCCACTCTTTGTAACAGAACTCAGTCCCACCCTTTGTAACAGAACTCAGTCCCACACTTTGTAACAGAACTCAGTCCCACCCTTTGTAACAGAACCCAGTCCCACTCTTTGTAACAAAAATCAGTCCCACCCTTTGTAACAGAACTCTGTCCCACCCTTTGTAACAGAACCCAGTCCCACTCTTTGTAACAGAAATCAGTCCCACCCTTTGTAACAGAAATCAGTCCCACCCTTTGTAACAGAACTCAGTCCCACCCTTTGTAACAGCAGAACTTGGTTCCACCCTTTGTAGACATTACTGTTAGATATGTGTAGTCTTTAAGTTGAGTAAACACTCACTATTATGTAGGCTGTAGACTTCTGTACGTGAGGCAGCTTCCTTGTTACATGGCGGGATGCCATCTGTCTGATCTTCAACTGAAACATTACAGTATTAACGTATTATTATACATGTAGTATTAATGCGATTGACTGTAGTACCCTTAACTTGAAAAGCCCTGGATCCAGTCTTACATTTGAATTTGACTAAAAATAAAGTGTTTCAAACAAGTTTTCATCAAGAGCCTGGTAAGTGTGAAAATCATGATAAGACCTGACTAATGGCTGATGTTCATTCATACCCTGGTGTCTAGGCTCATGTGAACGCTGTGAAAGAGCCTGCTTCGACGCCGACTCCATGATGGTCTCCATTGACTTGGCGGCAGATCTGTTCATCAAACGATTCTCCATGGCCTTCTGCTTCTTCTTACTACCAAATGCCTCGGTGAGGAAGTCATTCTGAATTAGAAATTGAGGCATTGCAGTACAAACCCTTTTGATACATTAATTGGTTTTTTTATATGATTGCTACATATAAGCATCAAACCCTTCTTCTGCTGAAGTTATTCATGGTTCAAATTGGCTATTGCTTTATTTTTTGAGACACTGGTTTTATCAAGACTTACTGAGATTGTCCATAAATAAAAATAATAAGATCATGAAATTTTCACGAAACTTTATACTTTGGCATTTGAGCAAGGATCTGGATTTTTGTTTTATGACTGTCTTATGATATATTTCTATGCTTTAATAGCACAAGAACAAAGAGACCAACAGACAGACTTATAATGCCATGACCTAATATGTCCCATCAAAACATAAAAAACCCAGAGTATTTGTTTCAGACAAACCTTCTCCGCATAGCTGAGGGATAGGTCTTCCTTCTGGCTTTCCTCTTGGTTATCACCTGTGGTTGTCGAATATGTAAAGGATATCTTGTACAAATTAGGACAACATTTTACAACATTAAACATTATTTAGGATACAGTAGATACAAGAAGACTTAAGATACAGAAATTACAAAACAACCCTTTTATTTTCAAAAATTATTCATATAAAAAAATAATCTGAATAATTATTTACTAATAGACAGGTTCAGAAATGTATACCAAAATAATTAAAAACAAAACAAGTAAGTAAATTTGATGAATTGTTTTCCTCGAATTGGTCATCGGGACTCATTGGCTATCTTCAGCTCATCTTAATTTTCAGCATACAGGCCCAAAAGAGGTATGCGTCACTGTCTTGCCATCCTGCGTTTATCCCTAAATATTTTTTTTCAGCTAGTCAGCAGTAATGGCCTAGACAATGTATCTGACCTTTGACCTCACTATGACCTTGACTTTGGGAATACAGACCCAAAAGTGGTCCGCTACACACCGCCTTGCCATCCTCCATATATTTCTAAAATTTCATTTATTCCTAAAATTTTATTGAGCTATCAGTATCTTCAGCAGGTCAGAAGGTATGGTCCCTACAACAAATTTGACCTTTGACCTCAATGTAACCTTGGAATTGGGCACAAGGACCAAATAATGGCATGTAACTCATCGCCTTGCCGTCCTACATTTAACGAAAATTTCATTGGCTATCTTCAGCTCATCTAAAGTTGTGGCCCTGGACGGACGATCACATGGAGGACGGACAGTGCGGCAACTATATGCTCCCCAACTTCTTTCCATGGAACATCTTTATCAATGGTCATTAAGTTTTCATGTAGTTATATTTGTGATTGGGTAGATTTTGATGAACTAAAGGACAACAGATATGTCTTATCTATGTGTCCCAATAAACATATGGATGACGCTGTCAACTGTTCTAGCAACTTCATGCAAAAATATATGTGTTATGACTGAAATAAAATAGAATGGTTAAAGAACATTTCTAAATACTCTATATTTTCCTTAATTAATAAACCATAATTTAGACAAGAGTGGTAGTCATTTCTATTTTTTACTGTGATTTTTTACCTGGTAGCTTAGGTAACATGTTGAAAATTTCAGCATCACATATTGTCATCTTTCCAGTGTCCTTGTCTCTCACGCCCACATAGTACCTGTCATACACAACAAACAACATAACTCTACACTGCCTTCAGAAGTGGGAATGGGTATGTGCCTCGTTCACAAAGTGTGATAGGACAGTATGATGTCATAGAGCTCATTACCATAGTACCTGTCATATACAACAAACAACATAACTCTACACTGCCTACAGAAGTGGAAATGGGTATGTGCCTCGTTCACAAAGTGTGACAGGACAGTATGATGTCACAGAGCTCATTACCATAGTACCTGTCATACACAACAAACAACATAACTCTACACTGCCTACAGAAGTGGAAATGGGTATGTGCCTTGTTCACAAAGTGTGACAGGACAGTATGATGTCACGGAGCTCGTTACCATAGCTTTAGTTAGACTTGGATCAAACCAATTTGATTTGAAATAATTGCAACATTGTAATTCTTTTTGGTATTAAGATAATTCAGAAGTTGTACACTATTCGACAACCTACTCTGATGAGAATTTAAAATTCTTGAAATAGGAGAGGCATTTGTGAGTGTTTGAAACCTGCATGGTGTCAGACATCAGACGTTAATGTTTATATGAATGGAACAAACTAAGCAAGGATGTACTTAACATGACCCACTCCCATACACACTCTGCCCCTCCCAAATACTTTTAGTAGTGCTGACCATAGATATTAAAATATTGAAGTTAAGGTTAAGGTTTAAAAACAAGAGGTCCAATGGGCCTTAATGCTCACATGAATTATATAGATTTAGAGTAAATGTCTGGAAATATTTTTGAGGAACAGTGAAAAGGAACAGAAATAGTCAATGTGATGAAATTGACGACTAAAAATATTCAAATGAGCATAAAAGAGTGATGATTATTTATAATACATGTACATGTAACAGTGACCTTGACTTTTTTGCACCAGGACCTTGAAACAAGAACTCATTTTAGACATTTTCCTTCAGATTTCATTTAAATCAAATCAAAAGTAAAGGTAGTTGAGTGTTCACACCTAAATGTGTGATAGAAGTATGGATAGCAATGTGCAACACTTTATACATGTATTAATGCCCCCACAAACCTTTTATGACACGCATAAAAGGAACAAACAAAAATGGGTGAAAAATATCATCCTTGTCACACAAAAGCTAATCCCTGACACCAACTGTGTCTATTGTAATCTGGCTACATAAATTAAGTTTTACTTCTTATGTTTTCTTGCTTCTAAATATCTGGTGGTTGAGTTAAATGCATTATGAAAAGTCATATACTGTAATACATGTGTTATCATTAGATTTGGAACAAAGAACCTGTGGATTATGGAGAAGCCATGTACCCAAACAAGGCTAATCAGAGTTACTGGGGAAATGGAAACATATCTACTAAATTATACATTGATGTTAAAAAGGCATGTATATATTAGCTAAAAGATTTAAATTGTAATGTTTTGTAGGAATTTTAAATGACATACCTGCAGAAATTCTGTGATCTATCAGCAGATGTTCCAAAGTTTTGACCAACATATGCCATTTGATCCGTCTCTGCTACCTACATAACAACACAACATACAAAGTTACACCTCATTGATACTACAATTGAGACTACACTTAAAAGCACTTCTGTAAAAAGTAGACCACCAGGTATCAGGCCCCAATATTACCTTCTTTGTTTGTTTGTTTGTTTATGTTTAACAGCCCATCGACGGCTGTGGTAATTTAGGGCCATGGTGATTTATTTATTTATTTTACTTTTTTAACAAACATGTGAATAGCGAAGATAAAATCAGATAAAATGGTTCATTTTAAAAGTATTCGCATTGTATGTGTAGATAATAAAAAATAATAAAAGGGGGTTAAAATAATAAAAGAGATAACGAATAGATGATATGGAATATGCGATATATATATAACGTCAAAAATGATAAGGTGGGTTAAAAGACATCAGAGTCTATAAAATAGACCAATGTCTTTCAAATAGTTAAATAATGCCTTCGAATCCACGGAACTGAAAAGTGTTTTCATATCCGGGACTCGGAAGTAGTTATCATGAATGTGTTTAAAATCGGAACATTCTGTTAACAAGAGGCCCATGGGCCTTAACGGTCACCTGATACATTTATATTTATTTTTGTTGTTGAAATATGTACCAATTTGAGTAAAAAATAGTATAATGTTAACTTAACTTTGTCAGGACCATGAGCTGATCATTCCTAGACCAATTTTAAGTGAGATCGGCCTATTAGAA